GGGGACAGGAGCAAGGTGTGGCTGGCAAGCGGCCAGGGTATGTTGCTAGACCTAGGAGCTCAGTATGGTCCCTCTCACCTCCGGGGTTATCTCACCTCCTGCCAGTCAGCCAGGAATGTGCTTCGACTCGCTCAGTCCTGCTCGTCCTAATTACACCTTCCTGGAGTGCTATAATAATTTCCTTCCCGCCCTCACAGTCCTTTTTCTCCAAGGTGATCCTGCTTGTCCTTTAACGTCATACCACCTCCTCACTTTCCTTTGATTTTCATCCCCAGATACCCCGCCTCTCAGCAATTCTGTCCCTTTCCCTCTCGCAGCTCTCAGCCGCCTGGTCAGCGGGTGTTGAAAAAAGATGCCCTGGACCCATACTTGCTTTCTGGACTCTCAAAAGAAATACTTTTTTGGCCAACACAGCGTGAGCCTGTGCAAGTCAAGACCATTCAGAGGGAATATCCTCTAGTGCTGTAACTGAGAATATGTGATAAAGGAATCATTGTAGCCCAGGCTAAGGATGAACCGGAGCTTTTGAAGTGCTCTAAGCTCACTTGCTCCCAGGCACAGCCGACTTCTACGTACCACCGCTAAAGAGGATGTTTCCCTAGAGACCTTTGCCTTTCCCTTGAAACTGGCTGCCTTGAGCATCAGACTAGTCAGATGGAGGCTGGGGCCAGCGTCGGGCGCAGGAGGCTGGATCTATCCCCAAACTGCTGCCTGGCTCCAGGCCTCGGTCTTGCATCCTGTAAAATGGAAAAAGTGGGGGAGCTGTTTTGCTGAGGCACTTTGAGAGCTGCAGGTGGAAAACGCTTTGCAGGTGTCCATGCCTTGAGCCTTGAACCGACCCTCTATAGCCATTGCAACATTTCTGTCCCTTCTGATGTGACATAATTTTCTTGGTTTCTTGTGCACACCTTAAGCTTTTCTCCAGCAACTGAAGAACAGCCTGAACATCTGACCCTCCTGCCTTTCCCCACAGTTTGGCAGAAGTCACTTCCTAGGAGATGTGTGATGGCTGTGTCCAGTCCAGTTCACTGCGGTAGGCAAGGATCCCCTGAGCTGTCCCTGCGTGAACCGTAAGGAGAACCTGCAAATGTGAGGATACATTCAATACTGGTAAAGCGCAAGCAGACCTTACGGGAGGCTGCTCAGCGTGCGTCACCCATGCAGAGAGCAGCGTTAGGGACCATAAAGGTTACAAAGTCAAGCCTACAGTGAAGAGATCACGCAGCCGTTTGCGTGTCCTGGTGTGTCAATACCATCTTTAATGGCACAATCTCAGATTGCTATAGATAAAAAAAAGATAAACAGACGCTTCTGGGCACACCAGCACCTTTCCTGCCTTTTCAGAGCCAAAATGCTCAAAACACCTGTTTGCTTCTTCCACTGCATATCAGTCAATCTAATAAAAGTTATTAAATTTCCCCAGCCTTTGTCTGGCTTTGTTTCTGGAACCATTTGACTGTAGGAGCAGAATAGCACAGGGCATGTTCAATACAGGATTGCAAGCAACTTTTAGACTTTCTTGGGGTGCTGGGGGATGTTCTGACAGGCATTAGACACTATTGAAGCCGTATTTAGCTGGTGCAAAAGGCAAAGCTGCAGTCAAGTCAGTTGAAATCTGCTTACTGCACTGGGAAGCCAGACCTTCCTGAGACTTTTTCAGCTCTTTCAGGGTTGAATTCTGTGTGTTCCCTAGACAAGATTAATTTCTTTTTATTTTGATCTCATACCTTTTGCATATCTTTTAAAATAAGAGACTTTGAATTCCTTCTTGTCCTTTTTAATGGCCGTTTTGTTTTAAAAAATCTGTCCTTTGGGCACTTTGCATTGACACGAAGAAGCTTTTGAGATATCTGTGAGCCAGACTTGGAATTTTTACCCCCACTTCTTAACCTCTTTTTTCAAATCCATCAGTTGCATTGGTACCAGGGTGGAAGGCAGCAAGAGCATTAGGGGCTTTATTTTTTTACTCTTTCTGTGATTACTTGTACAAGCTCTTTAAGGACAGTTCAGATCTTCTCTGTACTCTGGAAATTAAACCTAGACATCTTATATTAATGTTTTGGTTTGTTTTTTTAACAAACTGGAACAAATCACCACAGATGGTGGTGGGTTCTCTGCTTCCTGTTGTCCTCAAACCCTGTCTGCTGTTCTGGGAGATGAGCAAATAGTCAAACACACATTACAGCACTCAATGCAAAGGTCAATAGAGATCTGTATTGGCCAACGGGTCAGATGGGATAATATACCAGTCCTTCTGGCCATAAAATGTATTTTAATGCTCTCTGGGCCCATTTTAGAAAATTTACAGAGCTTTCATCTGTAACAATAACAAAATTTGAGGAACATCATAAACCAATTTTGCATCCCATTTCTTTAGAGAGTACCTCATAGAGTCTATTAAACAGCCTTTGAGAGCTGTAATTAAGTGCTTTAAAACATGTTTGGGACAGTTTTGTTTCAGGCTTCGCCTCCAGCCTCTTTGGCTTGAAAAACATGCTTGTTTCCAGGAAAGTGACTGTTGCATTTAATTGAAACTAGAAGTTGACTGGGGAGGCTGCTGGCTCCGAAGCGCCCTGGTGCTGGTGGTGCTTCTGTGAGCTTGGAGGAAGGCCCGGCTGTCTCTTGTAACAGCTAATAAAAAAAATAAATTCCTCCTCTTTATTTTGGATCCACCTACAATTATTTTTTTCCTCATTTTTGCAATCCCCTTATTTAATTTGTCTTGCAGTAAACAAAAATAGCTCACCCCAGCAAACCCAATGGTGTCCTTCCTTTCCAGTTGGTCAAGACATGTCTGAAGTGTCGCATGATTTAAAATGCTGTCGCTGCTGGACCTGAGGAATGAGAAAACTCTGGTTCAAGAGTCCTGAAACAAACATTTGGAGACTTACAAAAAACAACTGGAAATTCTTCTTCTTCCTGCCATTGGAAATAAATGCCAAGTGCAGGGTGGCAGCATCCCCCGCATCCCACCAGCGCTGCCCCGGTGGGGCTGAGCCCCCTCAGGGCGGGCAGCCTCTCGGCCGCCCCTCAGCTCCCCTGGGGCAGCATCAGCCTCTGCAGCTGCTCCCTCCACGGGGTCCGGGCCAGCCTCTTCTGGCAGGGAGAGCACGGCCACCCCCAGTACTTGAATTAGGCCACCAAAACCATTGAACTGTGCTAAACATCACAGCATTGAAATTCTATTTCAATATAATAAATAATTTAAATAAATAAATGGCTTATTTCCCTCACCTTTCAGCTTCTGGGCTTTTATCTTCTACTAGATAAATTTTCAAGTTTTTTCTCAGTGTCATAACACCTTGGTTTTTAAAATGCTCACGGCTCCGGGAGCTGGGGCTTTAATTAGTGCAAACACCGTCAGCCTTGCTGTAATAGGATGCAGCTGGGAGGCACAGCTGGCCCTGGGATCAACTGCTGGCGGCTGCATTTTCTCCTCACCTAGGTGCTTGCAAACCGCCCAGCCACCCCCCAGGGCAAGGGGCCCCGCTGGCTGGCTGGGCAGCGCTTGGGGCAAAGGTGGTGTTTTGCCAGCGATGCCCTGCGTGCTGTGCCCCGCATGCCTCCCTGGCCTGGGCAGAGCCGGTCTTGGCATGGCCAAAGTCCGGCTGAAAGCAAATCTCTGCCGGGCAGGTTTCCCTCCTCGAGACTGTGCGACCCAGGAGGGACGTTTCATCCGCCTGAGGTGGCCCTGAGCGAAGCTCAGCCTCCAGCCAGCCCTGCCTGATGGCCCAGCCGCGGGGTCTCGCTCCCTTTCAAATCTTGCCCTGGTCCAGCCCTTCTGCCCAGCAGCTGCACCCCGAGTGAAATGAGTTTGACTGGTCTCAGGCCACGTTTTAGCTGATTATGTCCACAGCACGAAAATCAGCTGTGCAGCGCAGAGAAGATGCTCCTATGGCTCTGGGACAGGGTGGCGCAGCTGGTCCTCTTGACCTGGGGCTGGTCAGGGTGGCTGTGGTGGGCAGCGTGACAGTAACTGGGATGTCCCACGTGGCCAGGAGGCACAGGCTAGGTGCACTTCTAAGTAGCTCCAGCAACTCTCGGCCTGGGATAAGCTCTCATTGAGACACCACTGACCCTCCCAAGCCAAAGACCCCCTCCTGTGGACTTCGTAGGAAATCCCAGAAGCGAAAAATTAAGGGGAAAAGGGAAGGTTTAGTTAGAGGCCTTTCTCCTGGGGTGCAGGTGGCGTGTTGCAAAGAGGAGGTGGGAAGAAAGAGCAGGTCACTGTGATGAAGGAGGAGCAGATGGAGGTAGGAACTTTTCCCGATTCCCCTTAAACACCTGGGGGAGTCTGAGGCAGAGACGATGTTCACATATATGTTTCCCAGCCTTCTCCCTGAAACATGCTGCATGGCCTCCAAGCAGTGGGCACGGGTGGCCCGAACCCAAGCCCCCATCCGGAGCACCCAGCGCACCCTGGCCCTAGCAATGTCTCCAAGGCAGGAGGAGGTGAGGGCACACCAAAAGCAGCCCTTCCAGTTGCCTTTGCGGGGGATGGAGAGGCAGGGCAGTGCTGGTGGAGATTGAATCTAGTGATTACTTTAAGGGATTTGCTGTCTCTTTCTTTATCCCTCTCTCTCTCTCTCTTTCTTTCTTTTTTTTTGTTTTCCCCTTTTCCCTCCCTCTTATCCCTTTCGTGGTGCATTTGTCTTCGAGGAACCTGGGGTGTTCTTTTCATCAGTTCAATCTCTCTCTGGCACTTGAGTCCTGATTGGCTGAAGGACTTAGGGAAAAAAAAATCTTTAATTAAGTAGATAATCTCTTCTTAGGAAGTTCTGCGGCTCCATTTCACCAACCCCCTTTAGCTCTTACTTTAGGATTGGTTACCCTTCGCAGAAGTTGGGATTCAGGGGGCATACGCCTCTTCATCACACCAGGAGCGCCGGGTGGAAAATAACTCCATCACTTCCCTAATTTTGTTGTGTTTCTTTTTTCTTTTTTTTTTTTCTTTTCTCTGGTGGTGGTGGTACCCAAGGTTTTTTTTTTTTAGGATCTCCTTTCTCCCTCTTTATTTGGATTTTATATTTCACATGGACCCTTATCTGGGCATCTTCTTCCTCACTCCCTTCTTCCAATCCTGCTGTGCCTGGTGAGTATCGAGAGCACCTCAGTCTGTGTCACAGGCAGGTGCTCTTCCCGGACACCCTAAGGAAATTCCTCTTCACCTTCCTAAATGTCCCCTCGTTTCCACTTAGCTCAATCCTGGTCTTTAATGGGACCAGATATTTAACTAAGTCCCAACACACTCATTGGCAGAGAGGTTAGATCTGAGCAGAGAAAGTCCCCTTCTTCCCCCTCGCCTCCCAGCAGTAACCCGATGAGCCAAATCCTGAGCTGGGGTAAAATAGAGTAGAGGAGAGCGGAAGATCTAGCCCCTCACTTCCAACTGGGAAGATAACCCAATGGCAGAGCCAGGGATTTCTCTTTTTGCAAAGGCTCACAGTCTGCTTGTCTCTTGTCTTAATCAAATCAAGTGGGGCTTCTCCCATGCTCCCCAAAGAAGACAGTCCCTGATTAAGAGCTCAGAGCCAGCGGGGGTGAGTTAGATCCACAGGACCATCACTCCGGATGAGCAGGCTGAGACCCGGGCTCCTTGGCAGGCACAGGGTCAAGATTACACATGTCTGAAATTCATGTATTAGCATTTCCTGGGGAGAAGCTTTCGATGCGGAGGTTGCTACGGCTTGGTTCCCAACCACCTGGGTCCCGTCGGACCAGTCCCACTGTGCACAAACCTGCGGTCATCTCCTGTGGGCCTCTTGCTCTGTCCTAAGGGTGGTTTTAAATTTATTTCCAGAAATGTTCTGTAAGGGTGAGCAGAAGGACATTACACTTGCATCAAATCTCATATCATTCCTTGCGGAATATATCTACCCCATGCTCAAATGGAGATGGACTCAAATGACCTGGCTCTGTAGGTATTTTTTCCTATGTGATTTTTGCCGAGTACCCTAACTTTATTCTCCATTTCTGTGATGCCCTCGGGAATCTGCTCAGTGCGTTACAGACTTATCTCTAACAGCAAGGAAAGTCTTTTCCTGTTCAATTACTAAAATCCCCTGCCTCCCCCACAGCAGATCTCTACGGTTATTACCATGGATGGAGAAACCAAAATTACAGAAAGAGAAACTCAAGAGTAAATGAGAACTCATTCCTGTTAGGCTGGGAGTGAAATTTATGTTCTTTCAGAGATTTTCTACTCCCTTCGTTAAAAGAATGTGCAAAAATTTGTGTATGTCTAAATATTATACAGTAGCAAACTCAAGATAAATCTCCCTTCTGGAACAAGAGGAATATGTATGTTATGCAGAGAGGCTAGGCAAGAACTCATGCTGATTTTATTTTTATTTTTCTGCTCTTCCCGTGTATGTCTCTTGCTTAGGGGTTTAAAATACATTAAAAGATAAAATAAAATCAACATTTTAAATAAACAGTTCAAAGGAGAGAAAGTTCAGAGCACAAAGTGAAGTTAAATACAGAAATCCCAGGCGTTTTCAATGGAAGTTGGATGTCTAAATTCCCTGTCTGCCCTTCAGAAGTTTTTATCTAAGAGAAAAGTTTATAGATCAAGACAGCCCTGCTTCTCTCCGCGTGTTGCTCATAGGTCATGATTTCCTGAGAGAAAGGAAAATTGCAAACTTTATTCAAAATGATTGTATTACAGACTCTGTCCCTTAACTTTTCAGGAGAAAAAAGCAAGGTTTGTGAGAATCATGCAATAACCCTGCTTGCAATTTTTGCTGGTCGTCTTTATCTGATCCAACAGCTTAAACGCAACAAGATTCTTTTTTCCTGTGATTTAATCATGAGAATTGGGAGCGGGGGGCAATATAGATCAACAATAACTTTTTTTTATAGATATGTATGTGGCCACTTCCCTTCTCTGAGTGTGGATTAGATTCTGCCGTGTCAGCTAGGTTGAATGGTCAGCGTGTTTCTAGATGAGCAAAATTTCAGGGTTGCATTGAGGAACTAAAAACCAAATAAATATAACAAAATAGAGAGAAATGAAGGGAAAAAAAAGGTAAAGCTCCAAATGTTAATGAGTTGCCTCCCGGTCTCCTATCCTGTGGGACTAATGTAACAATCTCTAATACAGCAGCTTGTTTCTAAATGTTTTTTTACACTTCAGCTGTGGGATTGCCTTTAGTTTCCAGTGTCACTGGTTTTCTAAAAACTCGGGAGAGTTTGTACTTGAGAACGAAACTCAGATCCAAAGTGAAATTGTATCCATTTTCTGTATTTACAATAATGACACTAAAGATCTAAGTACAGCTTTATAATTTTCTAAAGAGCTGAACCAGCAGCCCAGTAGCATGAGTTGGTGATAAGGTATCAAACAAATACTTTAATGGGAGATTTGATAAGGCTTTGGGGGCATATTAAACTGAGGAGTGGGGTGCTGTTATTGGTTAAAGTTGTAACTGAGCAGAAACTATCAGAGGCTTATTAGTATTTGATATGCGTAAAATATAATGGGACAGCTGCTTGGCAGCGTTGTTTACTTTCGGGTTCAAGAAAACTATGACAGAGAACTCCTGCTGTACATATTCATCAGCTTTGAAATAATTTCCTAATATGGGATGCAATGAAAATCACTTGCCCTAGATCTGCTTTTTACCTGGATGCAATGAGGGAAGCAGCGTGCCCTGCCCAGGGCCCTGCACGGGCTGGGGAGCGGGCTGGAGGTCTCGGTCGGGCTCCTCTCTCTGCCTGCTGAGGTCTGCCTCTGCTCCGCTTCAGCCCGTGTAACGCTGTCCTGAAGGTGTTTGAAGGTGGAGGGAAAGGGGTTTAGATAGCTAGAAACCCTGTAAGCTTTGTCGGAGAAGAGAAATAATTTCAAGTGTTTCCTGTCATGTGTGTGGTTTCAAAAAGTTTTAAATCAGCGTGGTGACACCGAAGCCATGGCAATTGGGCTGGTTTACACCCATCTGTGGATGTAGCCAGCTAGTTAGTTTAGGATTGCATTCTCTTTCCTTTACAGTGGTATGGAAAATTAGTAAAAATAAATAAATGAATAAAAACCACACTACAGAGACAAAAATGAAGAGAGATTCATTTTCATAGTGATTCCTATTTGCAGCACAGGGATGATTCTCGTGGCATTGTCACTACATCTGTGGAACAAATGGCTGAATTACTCTCTGTCCTCGCTGGAGCCTATATCCAGATTAGAGATGCATTTTTTCTTAGCTAGATCATATGGGCAAAGACAAAGCGCACAGAGCTGGTCTCCATTATTATCTTTCCTTCCCTCTCAGCATAAATAAGAAAAATTCCAGCTACCCTCCTGCCATACGACAGCCTATTCGGCAGCACACAGCACCCTGATATTCAAACTGTCCCATCTCCCCTTCTCCTGAAGCCACTTGCAGCTGCAAGAGTTAAATGTGGGGGGTCAAGTGTACCAGTCTAAATGAATCCTTTACTTGTCTAAGTCCTACAAACCCGCCCAGCAGCGTGCCTGCCTGTTGATCAGAGAGCTCAGAAGGAAAATGCCTTCTGTCTCTCCGACTTAATAAAAATGTTTAGAATATCCTGCTGGGAAATTGCTACTGTACCATTTGCTCAGCTGCAGATGGTGAATTGGTATATCCTGAACTTGGCCTTTTTGTGAACCTTGAGGTTTATCCCGGGAGGAGCAGATCCTCTGCTTCAATGCAGTTATGTCAATTGACACCTGCTGACAGGCTGGTTTGCTGTAAACCCTGAACTTGTGGATTACTGTCCTCCTCCTAAAGCCACCCCTGCAACTGCTCAGCAAGGGTTTGAAGCAAATCCTTCTTGCACACTGTGAATTTGGCTTTTCCTACCCAGGTGGGAAGCAATGCAGATGGGATGTATCTCTTGTTTTGGCCACAAAGAGAGGACTTGCAATTCTCTAGATCTTGCCTACACAGGGGCATTTTACCAGAGTTTTCTCACAGCTGCTACCAGGGGCTCAGATTCACACTGACACCATCCTGAGTGTGGTCCCCATAGCAAAGCGCTTAAGGTCAAGGCAAAGGACAGGAGGGAAACCAGATGGAAAAATGACTTGTTCGTGCTGCTACCCAGTTGCGTTAGGATGGGGACCCACGGAGCTTACACAGTCTGAATAGCCCCAGGTTCATGGCCCTGTATGATTCAGGTCACCCGATGCTCTAATCACCCGGCTACAGATGCCGTCTCTCCAAGTCCCAGGAAATATTTAATTAGCTGTACAATGCAGAAGCAGCTCCCAAAGGAAAATTCCTCTGCAAAACACCCATCGACTTCGTGCTAAAGTACCCACGGGGGCTGGAGCGCAGCCGGGTCTGAATCCCAGGCCTGGAACAAAGGGAAAGGACCTCCTGCTCTTGCCGTGCCCTGGCACAGCCCTCTCCCTCCCGTTTTGACCCAGGGGACTCTTTTCCAAAGCAAGCTTCATCAAGATGGACACATTTCCACCAAAAAAAAAAAAAAAAGTTAGGCTTGCCAGAGTGAAACTTTGCAAACTAGTTCTTTCAACTCTTTCTAAACTCTGAGTAATAGCAAAGATCAGGTTTCTTGCAATTTTGACCAAGCTAAAATAACGAGACCTTCTTGTGGTGTACCTCAGAGAGGATCTCTGTGAAGGCAGTTCTAGCAGAGGTGAAATGGGCTCGTTGACCGCGGGAGCGGTTTTCCAGGGCAGGGAAACATCCTCTCTAAATCTCTCGTGTCTGACGTCTGGGCACCAGTCCTGCCACCCTGCCTGCCCCTGTGTTCATGGCAGGGCTGCAGCATGGCTACACTTTGCCTTGCAGCTTGAGACGGCAGTGCCTGCTTCTGCCTGCGCTCGAGCTCACCCTGGGATGCCCCTGCACTCTCTGTGCTGGATTTGTAGCACAACAGGACAGTGCGTTTCTCCCCCTTACCAGGGATACCCGTGGCTCCAGACAGCATCGCTTGAAAACACGCAGGGAGGAAAAACCATACCCTAACCTGCACCTTTCTCCCCCGCATCCAGCCGTCGTCTGCCCAGCTACTGGGATTTTCAGGGAATGGAGAAGAGCTAGAAAAGCAGCAAGCATCACTGCGTGCCAGGTAGTGCAACTGCAGAGTGGAGCGTGCCGCTCCGCTGAAGGGACAGAGTGCGGGTTAAGGCTCTGCGAGGGCTAGCTCAAAAGGAGAGGCATCCTCCACTGGGAGACATCCAGCATTTGAAGCAGAACATCATCTCGAGAAGAAGCTGAAGAGCCCACTTTCTCTTGGTGCATGCTCTAGCTTTTTCCCAATCACTCATTCACTGCAAGGTCTCAATCCACTCATGCTACCTCTCTGGCCTCGGTGTCCTCCCCTGGGGATAACAACACTCACCCATCTCTCTGGAGTGCTGGGGTGCCGGCAGGGGAGACGCTCCGGAGACTCACCAGAAATAGCGATGAGGGTTATTTTGCAAACCTGGAGAGACTGGAATGAGGTGTTTGTAGGAGAAACCTCCCTTTTCTTGCTTCATTTCTGGCTTGGGATATTTGGGCTTGGCTCTTGGGCCTTTTTAAAGCCTCAGTGCTTTCTGCCGTGACGCAGCTAAGCTGGATTCACCCAGCCATCCTCCAGATTCCTAATGGTGGTCACTGCACCACATGGAGTCCTAACGCTGACTGACCATTTGCACTGAGTCTTTCTTGCTGGAGAAAGAGACTCAGATCTGCCAGCAGCAGCTCTGCAAGCCCCTGGGGAGAGTGATGGAGACCAGCCACGCTGCATGGTGGCTCTTGGAGATCATCCCTTCACACCTGCAGTGGGAAC